AACTTTAATATAAGTTTAACATAACAGCAAATGTACAATGTTTCGACAAGGTTTTGTCATAATTTGTACATTTGCTGTTATGTTAAACTTATATTAAAGTTTTTTTTCATTACCCATTCAAGCCATCTCCAGCCATTATTAGTCTCAAAGTGGGTTCCTCGTCATCGAATTTGAAAATATTTAAAATGTTTAACTACAATTAAGTACTTATAATTATTTACAATCATATTTAGAAAAAAAATTATTGCATTGCTAAACAAGACGTCTGTTTTCAATTTTTTTTTAACAGTCATTACTTATACAGTTATACCACTTGCATTTTCACTTATCTCAGATATGAACAATATGAAAAACATCTTTCTCATGAAAATTCTAACTTTTAAAAGATGAAAAATCAATTCTGTAACAAGCCTATGTTATAAGAGTTGTAGGTGCCCTAAACAATACTAACTTTGAGGGAAACAAATCTCTAAAGTCAAGACACATTTTTAGTGTCTGGAAAAAGATAAGGCAGGAAAATTTATCAGGGCAACATTAAATTTATATTCATATTGTTGTATTATCCTATAAATAATCAGTTACTGGCCAAGGCCTTAACTTAATTGCTGTAGACTCCAGCTGTGTTGGTTTCAGAAAACCTCAAAAAAGCTTTTGTAGTAATTAATAGCCCAATCAAATAAAAACACTAACATCTAATGTTTCTTTTTAATCCTATATGACAGTGTAAAGTTGTCTGTCTGTTTTTACTAATTTCTGAAAAAATGCACCTATTTATAAAACATTAGATAATACAGTTACTAATCTTTGAAAAAATGATGAGGGGTTTTGGCCCCCCTCTATAGATCTGTATCTGCTTACACAATGTTAAAGAATAGTTATTAATTCCAGAAAAAAATGGAGAAGACCAACACCCTTCCCCCCAACCTGCACCTGCTTATACAACATTAAAGAACAGTTATTAATTTCTGGAAAAAAAAAGAATAAAGCAAGGTCCATACCAACTGGACCAATTCCCTTGATTTCTATCTGCTTATACAACATTAAAGAATAAAATTATGCAATTAGAAATGTAGCACAATGTAATAGAACAGTAAATCTACACTCTAACACTTAAATAGCCAGAGAATTGGTGGTGGATTCTGCCAGCCAGTTGCCTTCCCTTTATTTTTATTCAGCAGTTTAAAATAGGGGACAGTGATTCTACAATAACAAAAACAAGGTGAACAAGTTGAGTGGCAGAGACCCTTCAATCACTGACACACCCATTATATAGCTTTGTGCTTAAAAACATGTTTCAGTTTCTTCGATAGTTGAAATAACTGAAAACAGTGAATAATCAGAAATCCAAATTTTGATTAGTTCTTTATCAATTTAATCATAATTCTGATTAATCAGCTGTTGGAATAATCAAAAACAGTAATAATCAGATACACTAATTTTTTCATTAGTTGATTATTTTTGTTACATAAAGTGATTAATCAATTAGCTTATGAGACACTAATTGATGTAATCTCTGCTCGTAGGTAATTGATTACATCAACCAACTCTATTGATAATGAAAGTTAACATTTTCCTAAACTGGAAATATATTTCTGATAGATACTTACCTTCCCTCACAAAATAGCTTTTCTCGATTAGTACTGCCCTCTATCAGTGCAAATTTTCAATGCTCGCCACTAGCCTTTCACTTCCCACTTCTGCATATCCAAATGTAAATGATTATGCAGCAGCTCTCCACCAATAGGAGCAAGACACAACCCCTATCATAACCAGCACCCTCTCCACATTTGCATTCCACCTTTAGGAAGCACCAAAAGAGAGAGACATTGAGGTGTGGAACCAAAAAAGAAAATGTCACCTGAAGGAATTTCATAATACATATTACCGATAAATAGGACCCCTGGATGTCGAGTGGCTAGGGCATAACAGACCACAGTGGTAGTTTGACCTCATCCAACACCTGGCTGTATCTGAAATTGTACATCAGGTCCATTGTAGGCTGAGAATCACCCACCTCTTCACCTTGAAAATGGAATTATTAGGATAAACGAGCTTCCATACCAAAAATATTCTCCACTTGTGCACCATTCCAACCCAACCAACATCTGTTCCACCAGGAACTGACATTCAGCAGATGGTGGAAATGAGGAAAGCCCTAGTGGGATGACATCTCTGGTCCAAAAACCATATGCCATTGGGTATGGTTCTTCCAGACCACAGTAGGAGGAGGATGCTCAGCTGGGAATACATGCACTGTGTCCAGCTACAACCAACACCAAATCTGCCAGGAACTGACATCAAGCAGATGGTAGGAAGAGAGACCCTAAACCTGGGGTGCATCTCCAGTCCAAAACCTGGTGGCATTGGGCATTTTCCATCCAGTCTGTGGTAGGAGAAGGGATACTGCCTAGAACACATGCGAGGGCTTACTTAGCCGGACCATCTCCAACCAGCACCTAACCCTCCGGGAACCACATCCAGCAGATAGTAGATAGGAGCAACATCTCAGCCTGAGAGGCAAACTGCAATAGATATATAGATCTATATATAGTCATGACATGGCA